CCTGAAATGTGTTTGAATTTGCACTGTTTGAAGTTATAATTATGTAAAATATGTTTATTGGTTGCAGCCACATGACGAAAGGTCATTCAAATTAGAATAATGCAACCACTACAGGGTAATCTCATTGTTTGTACTCATTGGTGGAAACTTAGGCAAGCAACAGAAAGGAGATCTCAGCCCTGCTACTTACTACCTATATGACTTTGGGCCAGTCATTGGACATCTCTGGGTCTCAGTTTCTTCATCTGTAAAAGGAGGGGGTAATTGATTCAGTAACTTCTAAGGTTCCTTTCAGACAGTCAGGAGCAAAGTCAGGATTTGAACCCTGGTCCTCCGGCTCTAAGTCTAGCATTCTTTCTACTACCCCACAGTGAGTTACCATGAGGCTCTATCTGGTCAACCATCAAGATTCTTTCCTCTGTTCATCTTGCCTATGAAATTCCTGTTCCCTGGCCAAGGTTCTGATATTAGGGCAATGCACTTCCTTTGCAAAGGAGAATTTTAGCCCTTCAATTTGTGGCATCCACTGAGCATCCTACATATTTCTTGGAGCCTGCTTCTCCTACCACTCTGTACATTCCTACATTTCCCTCCTGTCCTTCCTCCTCCCAGGGGTTAGAGGCTGGACCCTTTGGAGGATAGGGCACATCCCCACTTCTCCCACTCCACCCCTCGTATGACTACACTCTTCCCTCCAAGGGTATTCTTACTACTCCACTGAATCTGGTCCCAGTATCAGTGACAATAGTAACCACTGTTACAACTTTGTTTTTGAACTCAAACATCCTGAATCTGAAACTTTGCTCTTTCTACAAAAACAGGTCAACTCTCAAGGGATAGAAATAGATGTGAAGAAAGGAGGGTCTCCCCCCTGAACCAAAAAACAAACAAACAAACAAACCCAAATCTTTTATATGCCATGGACTCCAGCTCCAACTATAGAGGGATTCTTACCATAGACTTGGAAACCTTGTGTCGCCCACATGAGCTTATTGTCTTTGCTGTTTACAATGATGGTATAGTTTCCAGAGTCAGTCACTTTGACTCCCCTAATGATGAGGGAGCCATTAGATTGCAGGACTTCCCGGTCGGTGAATGCAGGACCTGTGATCGTTGTCTCTGTCTCAGTGTCATAGGACAGGATGCTTCTCACAAAACCTATCCCTTGAAACCAGGTCACAGAGGCATAACTTCCTTCCTGGAGGCCATGGAGAGAGAGAAGGACATCTGCACCCACAACAGCAATGGATGGCTGGGGGATGATGGTGAGCTGGGCAGCACCTGGAAAGCTCCATGACATAAGGACAGAGGCTGGGAGAGGGGAAGGAGACAAAGGGACCCATGAGACTCTTTGAGCAAGGACAGGGCCACAGCATCAACCTACAGTGGGAGCTCCTTTTGAGATGGAGAACTGTGCCTAGGGAAGCCAAACGAGGGAAGCAGGACATAGTTTTCTGGAGACATTCTGAGTGGGAGCACACATGTGAAATTTCACATGTGTGTGTCTAGTCTACGCCTGTCTTGGCTACAGTTGGTCTGAATAATGAGCCTGGCCCTGAATTAGAATCCCAGTTCTGCCCCTGACTACCTTACAGGCTTCAGACGGTCACATCAGCTCTCTGGCTCTCGATTTCCTTAATGGCACAATAAGGAAGGGCATGAGCTCTAAGATATTGTCCAGCCGTGGGTATGTTCCTATGAGATGCTCCTATGGTCATAATCTTCAGCAAGGCTCTTTCCCAAGATGCTCTCATTTTGCTATACTATGAAATGATGCGGGGGGGGGGGGGGGAGGGGAAATAGATGCTTCCTCAGGTCCCTCCCAGTTCTGACATTTTTTGTTTTAAAGTCTATTCCAGATCTCACATTCTATGTCCTAGGGCCTCTTCCAGGGACAGGATTAGCTATTCTAAGGACCTTTCTAGATCTGACATTCCCTGTCCTAAAGTCCCTCCCAGCTTTGACATTCCCTGTTCTAAGGGCCCCCCCAGCTCTGATAGCCTATGTTCCATATTCTAAGGGATCTTTTGGCTCTGATGGTTTAAGGTCCTATGATTCTGTGCACAAGAAGAACCAATAAATCACAGAACACTGGATGCCATTGCTGTATGATACGTCCAAACAGAGAATACAGAATTTTGATCTAGAAGGAAAATGCAAAGCCACTTATTCCAAACCTCTTGTTTGACAATGGGAGAAGCTCAGGCCCAGAGAGAGGAACTAGTTTGTCCAAAGTCAGACTGTTGAAGAAAGAGAAGAGAACCCACTAGGAGTGAGGGTGAGGAAAGGCTCTGAAGGACTGACCTTGGGCCCCAGCCAACATTTCTGGAACCACTCCTCTTCTACAAGACTCAGTGAACATCTATCAATCAAACAGCTTGTGTGTGCCAGACCTATACATCCTCATGGCCTCCTTTGAGGCCACATCGAGTCCTAGAGGTGATGATGGATCCCCAAAGGCTCTACCAGTAGACCCCAAGCCGTGCCATGTCCAGTTGAGCTAGAGAGGCCTCCTGTCTGGACCCAGCAATGGCCAGCATGCTCTTCTTCCAAGAACAAGCTAAATTGAGGGGTGAAGGGAGAGCTCAGCATCAGAAGCACCACAGAATGATGGCACTTAAGGCCACAGCTGCTTAGATGCACTATGGCATGGTAGTTAGCACACTGGGCCTGGAGTTTCAACCCCACCTTGGCCATTCTTTTCCCATAGCCTCAGTTTTCCTATCTATAAAAAGGGGATAATAAAACTTGTAGTATTCATCTCTGATTGGACAAAAACCTACGGTCAGCAGATCTACCCTTGGAAGGAAGGAAAGCAAAGAAACAAGTATTTATTAAATGCCTACTATGTACCAGGTACCATGCTAAGTATTTTACAAATATTATCTCATTTGATCCTCCCAACAACTCTGGGAAGTAGGTGACATTGTTATCTCCATATTACAAATGAAGAAACTAAGACAGACAGAGTTAAGTGACTTACCCAGGGTCACACATCTATTAAGTGTCTGAAGCTGGATTTGAATGGGGTCTTTCTGATTCCTAGCCTGACACTCTGTACCCTGTGGTGCCCCCTATCTGCCTTTGACTTTGGGGATTAGGAGCACTAATCTAGATTTGAAAATGGCTGGGCATCAGGGCAATTCAAGAGCTCAGAAAAGCAAAGGGAAGGGGCGATGGTGATCTGCACCCCTCAATTTGGTTTACATCCAGCTAGTATCTAAATCACCCAATCATGCCTCCACCAAGGATACAGTGTCAGGTCTGAGCTGTGGTTACTAGAGAATGACCCACCCCACTCTTTTCCACAAACATGATTTAGAAGGGTGCAGGGCAGGGAGAGGTTCCCACAGTGTGATTTGCCTCAAATCCTAACCCAAGCCCTCCCAAGAATGGCTCTCATGATTGGTTCAGATAAAGGATGAGAACAGAAATATTCCTCTATCTAGAGAGACTGGAGCCTGGAGCCCAGGAAGAAAGGCTAAGTCATCCCCACCACTCACCCATTTCCCTACCTACATCACCTTTTTATTTTCCTGTCCTTCATCTAAGTAGGTCCAGGAAAAGGCACAAACCCCAGCACCAGCTCAAAGAAAGGCAGAATCATAGATTCTTGGAAGTATAGAATCTTGGAGCCAAAAATCATAAGATGTTAGGATCAGAATCATAGAATGTTAGAGATAGACTCATAGAATCAAAATCATAAATCTTAAATTCAAAGAATCTCAAAATCTTAGATCATAATGTCAGAATCTCTGAGCTAGAAAACCTTTAAACAATCATCTAATCCAATTTAAAATTAAAATATCATGTAACCATTAATTTTTTATAAAATTAAAAATAAATGTATTTCATACATCTATTACAATTATAATTATTGTTTGATTATAATATAATAAATTAAATTATTATTAAAATTAGAATATAATAAATAAAGAGGAAACTGAGGCCCAGAGAAGGGAACTGATTGGCACAGGGCTGCAAATTAACTTGTATTAACATCAGAGCCAGGAGTAGGACCCATATCTCCTGACTCACAGAACTGGGGTCTTTCTTTTGCCCTATACTCAATCATTTCCACTTTTCCCTCAACTCAGCTTTCTTATAGTATGACCATTCTACAAGGAGACCAAATCTAGCTCTTTCTGCCTTCACTCCTGAGAGCTTCCCATCTCTCATTGAGACTGATAGCTGGGAGAGGATTCTGGGAAGACGGTGAAATAAGTGGGAAAACTTTCGGCTCTTCAAATTTCCTCCCAAAAAAAAAAAAAGAACATCACCTCAGAGCAGCAGAAACAAACATGGGGTAAATCAGCTGTTCTTCTAAGACAACCTAAGAAGACCCCAGGAAAGACATGACCTCCGGGGTGGAGGTTTGGCCTGAGTGAAGTGCAAACACCTCCAGGCCAACTCTGCAGAATCAACCAACAATAAGCCTTGGGTGCAGCTCAGCCTCAGCCTTGGAAATTTGATCTAGAAAGTAGTGTGGGGGTCTGGTGGCTGAGTAGGAGAAGATTGAAAGGCCTTCCGCTGTTGAGGCTTGCTTAGCACAGCTGTACTGACCAGAGTCTCCACCTGGCTGTGGCTGCAGGGAAGAAGGAGCTAGCACACACGTGGTGAGTGCAATAGCAGAGGGGCAGGGACCCTGCTGGCTGTGGGAAATTGCGGGGGAGCAGAGCCTCTGGTTTCATTTCCAGAGCAGAGAGGACAGCTGTAGTTTGCAGCCACCTGAGAGATCAAAAAGAGCAAGATTTTTTGCAGGACAGCCTGACTGGGGCCCTAGCTGTGGCTTGGAAGTGGAGAGGAGAGCTCAAGGTTGAGCCCTGGGGACAGACCTCAGAAAATAACAGTAAGAATGACCTGAAGCTTGGGCCATTATTGCCCATTCCTCAGGACTAGAATTTGATCACACTTATAGCTGCTAAAAACAAACAAAATAAATGAATGAATGAATGAATAAAAATGAGTAAACTAAGAAGAAAGAACCCAAACATAGATAGCTACTATGGAGACAGAGATCTGGATTCATATTCAGAGGAAGATAATAGAGCTAAAAAAAAAAAAAGCCACTCCTTTTTCAATAAGAAACATCAAATGGTCCCAGGCACAAAAAGAGTTCTTTGAAGAATTTAAAGAGGAATTTAAAATCAAATAAGAGAGATTGAAGAAAAATTAGAAAAAAAAATAAAAGCAATGCAAGAAAATCAAGAAAATTATGAAAATAAGTCAAACAACTAGAAACAGAATCAAAAACTTAAGGAAGAAAATAATTCCTTGAAAACTGAAATTGGGTGAGGGAAAGGTGATAACATTCTAAGACACCAAGAATTCTTAAAACAAAATAAAAAAATGAAAAAATAGAAGAGAAAATGAAACAGTACATCAGAAAAGGAGAACAGATTGAAAAGGAATAATATAAGAATAGTCAGATGAACTGAAAATTATAATAAAAAAAGAATCTTGATGTAATATTGTAAGAAATTATCAAGGAAAATTGCCCTGAAGTTCTAGAACAAGAAGGCAAAGTAGAAATAGAAAAAAATCCACCAATCACCACCTGAAAGAGATCACAGGAGGAAAATTTATAGGAATATCAGAGCCAAGTTTGAAAGTTCCCAGGTTATGGAGAAAATATTGGAAGCAACAAGAAATAAAGCAACTTCAATGTCATGGAACTACAATAAGGATTACACAAGACCTAGCAACTACTACGTTGAAGGACTGTAGGCCTTGGAATACTATATTTCATAGAGCAAAAGAGTTGGGGTTACAAATTGTTTACTTCTTATATGTGAAAATATTAGCATTATTCTTATGATTGTCATTATTTGAGTAGTTTGAAAAGAAGGTATGGGCTGAGCTGATGGGGTGATTCTAAAAAAAAATAAAACGGTAGGGAGAGATAAAAAGGAATAATTATCTTATACAAATGAGACATAAAAGTAAGAATTGACACAGAAGAAGCTAGTAGGGAAAGGGTGGGTAGTGCTGGAACCCTACTCTCTTTGGAAATGGGTTAAAAAGGGAATGACATATATATCTAGAAGGGTGTAAAAGTCTTCTAAATTCAGAAAGAAATAAGAGGGCAAAAGAATAGGGTCGGGGGAGAGGATAAGGGATGGACTCTTACAGGGAACGGTAGGCTAAGGAATAGAAGGGCAAGGTAGCAGGTAAAAGTAAAACAGAAGAGTGAGGAGGGATAGGATAAATGGGGTGAGAAGGATAGTGGGGAAAAATAGGAAGGAGTTAAAAAACAAATCCAATTTGTTCTGTGAAGTTGGGATTCAGTCAAAGGGTGACACTTGAGGACCTAGAGGGCCATGTGTGGCCCTGAGGTCACAGATTCCCCACCCCTGAGTCCTAAAGGGTATAAAATACCTGCGCGTATACCTACCAAAACAGACATGGGAACTATGTGAACATAAACATAAAACACTTTTTATACAAATAAACTCAGATGTAAATAATTAGTAATATTTACTATTCATAGGTAGGTAAAGCCGATATAATTTTTAAAATGGCAATTTTACCTAACTAACCTATTTATTCAATGTTATCCCAATTAAATTACTAAAAAAAAAATTATTTTACTGAGTTAGAAAAAACAATAACAAAATTTATTTGGAGGAACAAAACGTCAGGAGCTTTAAAGAAACCAGGGGGAAAAGATGTAAAGGAAGTAGATTCAGTAGAATCAGATCTTAAATTACATTATAAGAGCATTGTTGAAGTGTAAAAAGAATGATTTCAATTATTTTTAATTAAAATTTTCTTGGATAAATAAAACCTGTGTAGCCAAGAATAGAAGGAATACAGAAAATGGGGGGGGGTGACTTTCATAGACAGTCTCTCAGGTTGTGATTGGGTTGGGATATTGCTGTGATGTAGGAAATGATAAGCTGGTTGATTTAGAAAAACATGGGAAGAGTTGGACTTATGAAGGAAGATGCTATTCACCTTCAGAGAAACAGATGATAGGGGGAAATGTGCATAGTACGATCTTACATATATATCTATGAGTGTGTGTGTACATATGTGTATATTTATAGATTTCTATGTATATATGTATCTGTATATATGTGTGTGTGTGTGTGTGTGTATATATATATATATATATCCACACTTAATTGTAGCCTTCTTTGCAGGGGGAGAGGAAGGGGGAAAAATAAAGTAAAAAGTGCACAGCAGAAAACAAAGAAAACCAGCAAGGAAGCAAAGCAAAGCTGGGCATCTTTGAAAACAATGTGTAGCATTTATTACATAAGTTTTCTTAAAATGAAAATTAGTTGTTTTATATTGAATTCTCTTTTATGGTCTACTGTGTACATAGCAATGTTTTTTTTTTCTTTTCTTATCTCATTTTGTATTTCAGTTTAAAATTTTAAATGTTTACAAAAAAAAATTTTTTGAAGAGACTGATAGGTCACCCCCCACCCCCACTACCTCCCACTTTTCCCAAGCTCCAAATCTCTCTCACCTGTGAGCAGAAACCTCTTCCAGGAGCTCCTGTGGGGAATATCCATGAGTTCTGACACCAAGTTCTGCCCCACCCCACTCTCTTGGAGTATCTGGTTAAAGATGGACAAAAGTTTCCTTCTCTGTCTCTGGAGGGGCTGAGATCACTTTTCCTCTATCTCTTGGGTCATTCTTTTATTACAATTCTTAAAGAGTTTTGTGGGCTTGGACTTTGGCTCTGCCCCTGCCCCTGCAGGTCACTGTGGTTTCCTGCTTTGGGTCATTCAGTTCCTCCCACAGCCCTCCCCTTTTGCCTCCATTGGACTCACTTGAAGGGCAGGGATGGGCCCAGAGATGTGGCTAAGAGCCTTAGGGAGGTGGAGCTAACTGAATCCCCTTCTGAACTTTCCCTGGGGTGGAAAAGCAGAAGTTTTGGCCATAAGCCAGGTAGACCTGAGTTAATTATTTACTTTCTCCAATAATATGTAATGCAATAACTATTTTTATGGATTTGTGATATTACTGTAATGGGCAGTCCTTCTATCTGCCTATCACAACTCCTTCATAACATCTCTTCTGCGACCACTCAACCAATATGCACCAGCACTCAGACTTACTGTTTTGATCCCTAGAGGGATGACTACTACCTTGGGTTCTAGGAATATGGGGATATATATTAATATATATATATATGGGGATATATATTACTGACACTATAGCTCTTGAGCCCCCACTGGTGTGCTTACCATTAACAATCAGCTTTTGACAAATTAGCTAAATCATAATTACCTTTTAGCAAAGACATTTACTAAGATAGTATATGGTAAGAGCAATTGTTTAAAACAAATCATACCCACCCCAAAGCTTGGGGTTCATTCACCCACGGATACATACATAATATATGGGAACAGTAGGCATGAACTCAACATATAGTGGTAATGAAGCATACATGTTGGATACAAGCAGGAGTGTACTAGTAAAGATTTAACAACCAACTCTGAAAAAATGTACACACAACACACTTTTAAGTTTAATCTGCATTATTAACATTTTCTTCATCACCTTCTTAAGGCTAAAAATCAATAAAACAATAAATCAAACCTTGATTTGTAGCATTCACCAATTTCTGAGGTATCAATGCTCATACTGAAATTTTAACAATTGGCCCTCTCAAACCAATTCAAGCTGGCTCCAATATACCCCTGGATACAAGTGTGGTAAAGTGTAATTCACAATTGCTGGTACTTCAGGGATGTGAAGTCCTTTCTCTATTCATAGATTCCACACACAGCTCCCCTTGGGGGCAATATCTCTAACACTCCTTTCTCCCATGAGAAGTCATGATGCCTCCTGAAGCTATCTCCCTCCTTGAGGGACTTTATTTCTTAACCTGATCTGGATTTCCATTTCACAAGCTGGTTTCATTTACATTATTGTCATATTTGCATTGATTTTGCTTTTGCACTTGAGGGATTTTTTTTTCAGCTAACCATTCTAAGAAGGAGGAGGAATGAAAATAAGGTGATGTCAGATCTGGCTGGTCTGCTCCTCAAGACAATGAATGTCCAGACGTATTCTGTACCAGACACTGTGCTAGGCACTGGGGCTGCAAAGACAAAACTATAGGATGCAGGAGAGTTGGAATGGAGAGCATCAGAGCCACACAGGGATAGCAATTAACAAAACTTTATTCCTCCTCACAAGGGAGGGGAGAGAACAAATACCAACATAAGGAAGGGTCGGTGTGTGGACCCCATTGCTCCAGACCCTTCCTCAGGGCAGCACATAGTGAGGTGGCTCCTGCAACTCTGGTCCAGCGTTCTTCAGGGATCAGAGTTATATAGAGTTTTAGGCAAAGAACGTGACAGCATCAACAGGAGACTGCTGGGTCACCTAAAGGGGAAGATAGTCATACGGCCAGTACCAATGAAAAAAGGGTATTTTCTAAATTGTCTAAAAAGGAGTGAAGAATGAGGGACTGGGATACTGGCACTAATTGTGCCAATCCAGCAAGAGGTTGAGACGGGACAGAGGAGATAATGCCCAGCCTCTGAGCATTAGACTTGGCATACATGCATTTTAAGCATCTGGAACCATCCAAATTAAATTGACTTTAACTGGCCAACAAAAAGAAAACAGTTCTTGTCTTGAAGGAATTTATATTCTCTTAGATGAAAACAACTTGTATACACTGAAATAAACACAAAACATAATACAAAAAAATAAATACAGAATAATTTCAGGCAGCATTACTAACACCTGGGGAAGGATGCAGGCATGACCTATACATGCCTCCAAACCACAGTAGGCTTGGAGAGGAGTTGCAGATTCAGAGCATTGGAGATAAAGAGTGATGGCATACCAGGCTGAAGGAACCAACTAGTTAAAAACCCAGAGGTAAGACATGAAATGCCACATATGGAGAACAGAAAGCAGGCCAATTTGGCCAGAATTCTACCTTGGCTTGCCTTGATGATAAGTCTCCAAAGAGGGGAGTAGAAAGGTGCTCTATGCATACTATGAATTAAGTATGGGATGGTTGTTTATTTCTTGCACACCAAAGAAATATGAGCTACAAATACAAGTTCCCATTGACAGACAACCTAAGAACAGGATTAAATTACTTATCCTGTAACTCTCCTGAGTTCTCATCAAAACATAAAGCAATTTCAGGCATTGCTGAATAAATATTGTCATACTTCACCTAGGCTCTGCACTGTCTCCTCAAAGTCCATGCCTTATGGATGGCCACGCCAGTGTTTGGGCTCCTCTTTTTCTCAATGGCAATATTCTCTGTCACCATTTAGTTATGCTGTACCTCACACTTTAGACCTCTCAAAAATCACAAGGTTGATTCAAGCCTGTACATCTCCATGTTGAGATTGATGACCAGTCACAGAGGATCAGGCAAAGAAACATGAAACAGAAGACAGCCATAGGCTGATTTTATTTATTTTTTTGGTTAAATTTTGAGTTCCAAGTTATCTCCCTCCCACCCATATTAGAGAAGGCCAACATATAAGCCAACATAGAGAGGTAACCACACAATACAGAATTCTAAATATCAGTCCTTTCTCTGGAGGTGGATAGCATTTTCCTTCACAAGTCCTTCCTAGTTGATCCGAATGATCATATTACTCAGAATAGCTTAGTCATTCGCAGTTACTCTTCAGACAATATTGTTGTTACTGTATACTACATTCTCTTGGTTCTGCTCATTTCCCTCTGCTTTATTGCATACTTTTCTTTCCATGTTTTTCTAAAATCAACCAGCTCATCATTTCTTACAGCACAGTAACATTCCATCACAATCATATATTAGAACTTATTCAATCATTCTCCAATTGATGGGCATCCCCTCAATTTCCAGTTTGTTGCCACCACAAAGAGAGCTGCTATAGATATTGTAGAACATATCAGTTCTTTTTTCCTTTTTCCCTGATGACTTTGGGGAACAAACCTAATAGTGGCATTGTTGGGTCAAAATAGTTAGGTCAGTTCACATTTCCACCAACAATGTATTAGTGTCCTCATTTTCCTCTTTTATCATTTTAGCCAATCTGATAGGTGTAAGATGGTACCTCAAAGTTGGTGTAATTTGCATGTCTTTAATCAATAATGATTTAGAACATTTTTATATGACTACAAGTGACTGATTTCTTCTTCCAAAAACTGCCTGTTCATATCCTTTGATCATTTGTCAATTGGGGAATGACTCATATTTTCATAAATTTGACAGTTTTCTATATATTTGAGGAATTGTCTACAAGATTTTTTTCCCAATTTTCTGCTAGATAGAGCAGTAAGCATGACTTACTGGAGTCAGTAAGACATGTGACCCAGGGGAGGCCTTGGAACAGAGATGGTCAGAGCAAGGCAAGACCTTAGCAGTGGGCTGGAGGAGCTAGGAGGGACAGTAGGGACCACTGAATCCTCTCTCTTTTTTTTTTAATTTTTATTTTGTTAATGTTACTGTAAATAAAAATTAGGCACACCCTCAAAAGTTTGCCCAGAGGCAATAAGAGTTGAAATAGCCCTGAAATAGCGCAATGAAGCTAGAAAACTGGAGTGTCATCCATTCTCTGGACTCTAGAGGCACTTGGATCTTCCTCTCCAGCTTCAGTAATTGAGTGCTTCTGTGGACTTGGGGACAAAGGGCTACAGCTAGTGACCCAGCTGTGGTGGTTACAGAGTAGTGGTGGCCACTGTCTCTCTAGGGGAAAAAAAAACCATAAAACTTGGTTTCAATGTCATTAGAAAGGAAGTTTCCTCATTTGTAAAATGATAATAACAGCACCTCCCTCCCAGTGCTGTTGTGAGGGTCAAGTAGATTAGGATTGTAAAGTGCTGAGCACAGTTCTGGCGCATAGTAAACACTATATAAATGCTAACTATTATTGCTGTTAATTATTATTACTGGAATAGCCTGCAAACAGGTTCTCCTGCCAGCACCCTGATAGCAGCACCAATTTAGAAAGTAGACTATGTTAAGTTAAATGACTTGCCCAGGGTCACGCAGCTGGTAAGTGTCTGAAGCGTAATTTGAACTCAGGAAGATGAGTCTTCCTGACTCCAGGCCTGGGTCTCCATGGTGCCACCTAGCTGTCTCATTTTCCCCTCTCTTGGCTTCTGTTTATTCTTCCGAAAAATAAGGGTTTGGGGAGGGAGGTCAGGGAGGTTGGTCGCTAAAGCAGCTTCCAGTTTAAGGCATCCCAGGAGGACAGGACTGAAGAAGGCCACCCACTCCATCCCTGGTGCTGTTTCCAAAGTCCTGGAGGAATCCTGTCAAGGGCCTCTAGAGCGGAGGGCTTTCTGTCCTTACCCTGCTGCGATGACTTCCACGGTATCTCTGATCTGGGGGAGCAAAGAGGAAAGTTGTGTGTGAGGCAGACACAGGAGGAGAAAGCTCTGCTCCCCCATGTCTGCCTGCCTTTGCAGGAAAGGAGAGCTCACTACCTGCCCAGGTCCTCCCCAAGCATCAGCAGGCCCCAGGCACCAGACTGGGCAAGATGGAGTGGAGACAAAATCAAGACCATCCCTGCCCCAAGGAGCTTACAGTCTATTTCAT